GTTTTAATTTTCAAATATTGGTCTAAAATTACTGCAAATATTATATTTCCTTAGATAAGAATAAAGGTTTCATTTAATTTGGAAAAAGTTTCATTCTATTTGTAAAAGGTTTCATTTCAATTGGAAAAGGTTTCATTCTATTTGTAAAAGGTTTCATTTCAAGTGGAAAAGGTTTCATTTAATTTGGAAAAGGTTTCATTTAATTTGGAAAAGGTTTCATTTAATTTGGAAAAGGGTTCATTTAATTTGGAAAAGGTTTCATTTAATGTGGAAATGCTATATATGAATGTCATTTTTGCTCCTAGAAGTATGCTACAATTTGCTACTTCTTCGGTGAACCCAATGAAATTTAGCCAAAATTTTAAAATCAATTTATAAAGGAAAATCAAATTTGTGGTAACAGGCGAACATAATTCAGCAGCAGGCCTATTTTTGTTTCAAGGTTTACTTCAAATTGCAATATCTCGGCAACGAGACAAGTTTTCTTTATCGAATTTTTCGGTATCATTTCGGTAGTTATCAAAGTGCAATGTATAAATGAAAATTGTATTGTAAATACAAATATACGATAAATAATAAAAAATACACACTTCTAAATATCTTTTGTCCATTAAATGTATGAAATATCGATAATTGAGGCCACATAAGTATACTTTAACATTTTTTATGAGATTACAATTTATATTTAATAATTTATATTGCCTATTATAAAAATATCATTTTTCACGTATTAATCCTCCAAAATTAATAAACTTTTTGCCATAGCATACGGGGCGATAAAATTATTACAATTTCAAGAATTTAGGGGTTTTTTAAGAATATTTCTACAAGGACTATACGAAAGGGTGGATTCTTCCAGAATATGTTTATGAAGTCTATACACAATGGTGGGATTTTTTAAATATTTTTAAGGACTTTGAATCAACTTAATTCAACTATTTTTTAGGAATTCTGAAGAAGTGTGCATTTGGACAAACCTGGATTTTTAATATTTTTTTAGAACCATGAACAAAACATTTTCTAAACCACGCCTTTGAGGGGGTTGAAAAAATATTTTTTTTTTAACTATTTTTTAAATGCCTTGCCTTAGCCCCTTTACGTTTTGCTTTGAAAAAATATTTTGAAAAAATCCACTCTTGCCTTAAAAAATATTTTGAAAAAATCCATGCCTTGTCTTAGCCCATTTACGCCTTGCCTTGAAAAAATATTTTAAAAAAATTTACGCCTTGCCTTAGCCCCGTTACGCCTTGCCTTGAAAAAATATTTTGTAAAAATCCACGCCTTTTCTTGGTCCCTTTACGCCTTGCCTTGACAAAATATTTTGTAAAAATACACGCCATGCCATAGCCCCTTTACGCCTTGCCTTGAAAAAAGATTTGGAAAAAATCCACGCCTAGCCTTAGCCTTTGTGCCTTGCCTTGAAAATATATTTTGAAAAAATCCACGCCTAGCCTTAGCCTTTATGCCTTGCCTTGAAAATATATTTTGAAAAATTATGCCTTGCCTTAGCCCATTTACGCCTTGCCCTGAAAAAAGATTTTGAAAAATTATGCCTTGCCTTAGCCCATTTACGCCTTGCCCTGAAAAAAGATTTTGAAAAATTATGCCTTGCCTTAGCCCATTTACGCCTTGCCTTAAAAAATATTTTGAAAAATTACGCCTTGCCTTAGCCCCTTTACGCCTTGCCTTAAAAAAAATATTTTGAAAAAATCCACGTCTTGCCTTAGCCCATTTACGCCTTGCCCTGAAAAAAGATTTTGAAAAATTATGCCTCGCTTAGCCCCTTTACGCCTTGCCTTAAAAAATATTTTGAAAAAATCCACGCCTTGCCTTAGCCCCTTTACGCCTTGCCTTAAAAAAATATTTTGAAAAAATCCACGCCTTGCCTTAGCCCCTTTACGCCTTGCCTTAAAAAAAATATTTTGAAAAAATCCACGCCTTGCGTTAGCCCCTTTACGCCTTGCCTTAAATAATATTTTGAAAAAATCCACGCCTTGCCTTAGCCCCTTTACGCCTTACCTTGAAAAAATATTTTGAAAAAATCCACGCCTCGCCTTAAAGTATATTTGGAAAAAATCCACGCCTTGCCTTAGACCCTCTACGCCTTGCTTTGAAAAAATCCTCGCCTTGCCTTGAAAAAACATTTTGAAAAAATCCTCGCCTTGCCTTAAAAAATATTTTGAACAAATCCACGTCTTGCCTTTGCTCCTCTACGCCTTGCCTTGAAAAAATCCACGCCTTGTCTTAAAAAAAATATTTTGAAAAAATCCACACCTTGCCTTAAAAAAATATTTTGAAAAAATCAACGCCTTGCCTTAAAAAAATATTTTGAAAAAATCCACGCCTTGACTTAGCCCCTTTACATCGCCTTGCCTTAAAAAATATTTTGAAAAAATCCACGCCTCGCTTTGAAAAAATAATTTGAAAAAATCAACTCTTGCCTAAGGCTTGAAAAAAATATTTTTAAAAAAATCCACGTCTTGGCTAAGTTTTTTCACAAATTTAAAAAGAAATTCTCGCCTTGGCTAAGCCTTTTCAAAAACTTGAAAAAAATCCACATTTTCAAAAAAATGTGTTGAGAATATACCACACCTATTTAAGATTCTTCAAAAAACTGCTTCCAACAAAATTTTGCCTTGATGATATTTTTAAAAGGAAAATTATAAGAAAATTTTTACATCTATTGATAGTCGCAAAAACATAATCGTAAAAAATCCACCGCCTATAGTTTCTAGTTGAAAAACATTTTTTGTAATTCCCACAGATGTATGGTTTTTGAAAAATATTTTTAAAAAAATCCGCTTTTGAAAAAATCTCGCAAAATGAAAAAATAAAAATTTTAACACCCTTACAAATTTGGCAAAAATCGCATAAATTTAGATGAAAAAAAATTTGATTTTCAATTTGGGGTCATGCGTATCAATAGATGGCGCTATCCGGCTGTCATTGCCAGTGTTACCGTGTCTATGTGAATTACTAATGTTTTCTTCATATTTTAAAGCATATTTTTAGGCGTTTGCTTTTCTATCACAGCTATTCTCCTTAGGATTCATTTTGTTTGGGTCTTTTTTGTTTATTTAGATAAAATTTAAGGATTTTTTTGCCCTAATATTTCGGTTGGGCTTAGGTCTTTACGTTTACTCCATACTTACCCGAACATTTGTAGGTTTTTTCTTTTATGGCTGCCACAATTTGTGTGTTGGCAAACACTTTCCAATAAATTGCTGCTAAGCTTTGTCGTTTTTATGACATTTACTGTCTGTGTCCAGGCAGGCAAACAAACCCAAAGAAACAAATAATTGACCCTAACCTTAAAAACATTAAACCAACAACAATAATAAAATAAAAAAACGGTTATACAAATAATTTGTTATAATTGAGTTTATTAAATATGTTTTATTAAAAAATTTTCAACTTTATTGTAATTTGTCAAAGACGAAATGTAAAGTAAAGGAAGGAAGGAAACAAAAAGTAAATACGAAAATAGGAAGCAAAGAATAAATCAAAAAATTGTATATAGATATGAAACGGAAACTCCAAGCAAAGAAGAAGAACGGGGGCTGGTTGCCTGGGCCATGAGGTTCCGGTTTCAAGATTATGTTTTCTACAGAGTTGATTATTACTTTTTTAGTTTTATTTATTTTTTTTTTTTTTGTAACTGACTGCTTCTTCCTCTCTTTTTTGTTTTAATATTTCTTCATTTTTTCTAAGGTTGATTAAAAGTTAATAATAAATGTTTATAATTACTTTGTTGCCTTGTGTTATTACTGTGTATTTTACTCTCAATTATAAGTGAAAAGCAGCAGCATCGGAAGTAGGAGCAACCATCCAAGCGTGAAAAAAGAAAAAGAGTTGAAGGAGAAAGTTTTGAAGGTACAATAAGAACAAAAAAAAAAAACTTATTTGCTTTGATGTTAGTATGGAGGATGGGAGGGAGGAATGGAGGCAGGAGGGGAACTGCAGGAATTGGCATAAACCAAAGTAAAACAACGTCCCATGTTTTGTGGCGTCGTTTATGTGTGAGAATGTTTTGAGCCCAAGTTAAAGTATGACCGTCCAACCAGTCAGCCAAGAAACTTCTGGCCCAATCCGACAGAGTGTGAGTGTGTGCGGGAGAGGCCGAGAGAGATAGTATGTTGTGAGTGGCAAGTTGAATATAAAATAAGTTCATTTGATATTCAGAAACTTTTAATATAACTAAAGAATGAAGTCAACATTCTTAATAGTTTTAACGCCATGTTGTCTTTTCCAGCAGCAGCAGCAGTAAATGGTGGAGCAGGTCGGGTTGGGAAATTGCTGGTTATTTTCCATGAATATATTTTTGTTTAGATGACTCCTCTAACCCGCAGAACTGAGGCTGCCCTCGGTTCCTTGGTTTAGTAGTAATACAAGATGATTGGGTGTTAGTGGAAGTTCACTGGTTCCAGGGAAGGAAAATCAGGACATGTTTGTTGGTTTGCTGCTGCTTGTTCCCTTTTCAGGATTGTGTTGTTCCACAGAATGACGATGCTGATGATCACACAATGACGTAAAGCCGTTGCGTAAATAGAATTAGTTGTTAGATGGTTGGTTGTGTAGTTTATTGTTGCAATTGCTGTTGTTGTTGTTTGTGTAGTGGCATTGTCACCACTGTTGCTTGAGTTGTTAGTCTTCCTGTTCCGGATGTAATGCCTGTTGTTGTTATTATGGTACTTGTAACTCTTAAAGTGGCTTCTAAGGACATGGTGGTAGTGGTGGCGGTTAGGTACTTGAACTCCTTCATAGCTGTAAATGTTGTAATGCTTGTTGTTCTTGTTGCTGGCTGTTGATTATGTAGATATTTTGTGTATTTGCGATTTTTGTGTGTGGCATCCTTTTTTTGCTTCTGCAATGCCATGTCACAACTTTCTTCTTCTCCAGCACATCCTTTTAAATTAGCTGCAACAATTTCCATTTCTCTTACTCCTCCTCCTCCTCATCTCTTCACCTCATTTTCCTTTCTCTTCACGCTCCCGCTAGATTTAAAACAACCGATAACTATGCGGAAAGGTTGACACTGTCAAACGCTGCACCACCGCTGCCAAATGTTCATATTTTAGTGCGCCCGCAATTAAATAGAGTTCCTCAAAGTTTTCACGATTACGTTTCTCATCGCAAAGTTTCTGCAAGTACTTGTACATCCGACCATATTGCTCATGGACATAAGCATGCCATAGAGAGAATTGTATTACCTGTATATTTCGAATGAAAAAAGAAAAAAGAAGAAGAGGAAAAAAATTAAATCATGAAATCAAAGAAGTTAGTAGCAACAGCGTAGTAAAGGGGAAAAAATATTCCGCCAGATAAAGTAGCTCGCAAAGACATCGAATGAATGGCATACAATAAAACTTAAACTAGCTATGAATAGATGGCAAATAAAGATTGTCAAGAAGGTGATTTTGTGTGGACAGGGTGACCCGCTATGGAATACAGAAAAGTAATTCGAAGTTCTCACAATAGTCTTATGCAGATTAAAGACCTTTTACAGATCTGCTAAAGAAAGAAAATCTTCCACAGGTCTCTGCATACCGATTTTCAACGCTTCTGTTGGTAGAAGGTCTTCAAAAGGTCTTTTGGCTATACAAGAAAGAAATTACTGAAATGAATTTCAAAATCTTAGATGGAAGACTCTTTAGAGGTTTCTTTATAGGGTTTTTTTCAGACGTCTCCTATTGGTATAAGATAGAAGACCGCTATTGGTAGAAGACCGCTATTGGTAGAAAACCTTCCCGAAGTTTTGTGTAGTCAAAATACCTGAAAGATACATTCTATAGACCTTCCAATAGGATTGCTATAGAAAAAAACTCTTTCAGAGGTCTCTACATATAGATGTTCTCTATTGGTAGAACATCTTCTACAAGCCTTATATAGTTAGAAAACCTTCAAGAGACCTTCTATACGCAGAGAAGCTTCCAGAGGCCTTTTGTAGATAGAATAAATAACTTTCCGAGATCTCTACATATCGATTTTCCACGTCATGAATAGCCAGAAGAGGATTTCTAATGACAGAGGACCTTTTAATAGATCTGCTATAGAAAGAAAAGCTTTCTGAAATCTCTATATATAGATCTTCCAGAGGCATTCTATAGGCAGAGAAGCTTACAGAGGCTTTTGTAGATAGAATAACCTTCCGAGATCTCTACATATCGATTTTTTACGTCATGAATAGCCAGAAGAGGATTTCTAATGACAGAGGACCTTTTAATAGATCTGCTATAGAAAGAAAGGCTTTCTGAAATCTCTATATATAGATCTTATAGAGGCCTTGTATAGGCAGAGAAGCTCCCAAAGGCCTTTTGTAGACAGAAGGACTTTCCGAGATCTCTACATATCCATATTCCACTACATGAATAGCCAGAAGAGGATTTTTAATAACCGAGGACCTTCCAATAGATCTTCTATAGAAAGAAACCTTTTCTGTAATCTCTAGATCTTCCAAAGGTCCTTAATTGGTAGAAGTGTTTCCAGAAGTCTTGAAGTTAGAAGACCTTCAAGAGGCTTTCTATAGGTAGAGGTGCTTCTAAAGAAATTCTATTTTTGGAAGCTCTTCAAGAGATCTCTGTGGAACAAATTATTAAAATACTGGGAAATTATAAATAATTTTCCCAGTATTTTAATAAATTCTCCGTATTAATAGAATTTGAGAAATATTTTTAAAATTTCCCAGTATTTGATGTCATTGTCAAACGTACATATAAATAGTCCTTGAAAAATATGTTTATCAAATCCACGCCAATGAATAGTGCTTGAAAAATATTCTTTAAAGAATCCACGCCTATGAATAGTCCTTGAAAAATATTCTTTAAAGAATCCACGCCTATGAATAGTCCTTGAAAAATATCCTTAAAGAATCCACGTCTTTGAATAGTTCTTGAAAAATATTCTTTAAAGAATCCACGCCTATGAACAGTCCTTGAAAAATATTCTTTAAAAAATCCACGCCTATAAATAGTCCTTGAAAAATATTCTTTAAAAAATCCACGCCTATAAATAGTCCTTGAAAAATATTCTTTAAAAAATCCACGCCTATAAATAGTCCTTGAAAAATATTCTTTAAAGAATCCACGCCTATGAATAGTCCTTGAAAAATATTCTTAAAAGAATCCACGCCTATGAATAGTCCTTGAAACATATGTTTAGCAAATCCACGCCTATGAATAGTCCTTGAAAAATATTCTTTAAAGAATTCACGCCTATAAATAGTCCTTGAAAAATATTCATTAAAAAATCCACGCCTATAAATAGTCCTTGAAAAATATTCTTTAAAGAATCCACGCCTATGAATAGTCTTTGAAAAATATTCTTTAAAAAATCCACGCATATGAATTGTCCTTGAAAAATATTCTTTAAATAATCCACGCATATGAATAGTCCTTGAAAAATATTCTTTAAAAAATCCACGCCTATGGTTGGTCCTTCCAATAATATTCTTTAAAAATCCATGACTCTGGTAGTCCTTAAAAATATTCCTTAAAAACTCGTGATTCTTCTTTAAGTTTTATAAATTTGCAGTCAACATTTTCCCACACCCTGTATGCAATCTATGTATGTATCTACGCCTAGACATGCAAAAGAATAAAAATGCCATCTCTATATCTCCTAAGGTTGGCAATCAAGATTAGAGGCTGTTGTTGGTAACACACACACACACTCAGCATGCACTGTAGCGCAGAGGGCGTGTTACTTAAATTGTCCTAGTACAACTGACTAACGACTAGGTTAACAGTAGTTTCTAAGAATAACAACAACAACAACTAGAGAAAATGAAAAAAGTATTACAAAAGAAATAAGTGGCAGAGGACTGAAGTACAAAAATGAAACCCAATATAATAGAGTTTAATACCATCATCAAATAAACACATTAAAAAGTTTCACCTGGGCACCACACACTTTTTGCCTAATGGACTTTCTGATTCTCGTGTTTGTTGGTGTGTGCGTGTGTAGCTGAGCACATTTGTCTCTTTCTGTAGTTTTGTGTTTTTTTTCCATTCACATTGTTGCATTTGTAATGGGAAATGTCGGTGGTGTGTGACTGACTAGATGGGTGGGTAAGTGTGTGTGTGTCTGTGTCTATGTAAGTAAGTATATCATTGTGTTCTACCAACGCCTAGTAAATTATGTTACTGGTGGATAATGGCTACCATTTTTTAGATTGTAGGGAATCTGTTGGCTAGTAGAGAGAGTTGGGGGATACAATGTTGGGATGCTTTAACAGGAAAAAAACCAAGGTGAATAAAAGTTAAAGTTTTCAAAGAATAGTGTCATAGTGTTTTCGAAGAAGAGTGTCATCTTTTAATTGGCTTTTGAACTAAAATTAATTCTTGAGAAAAAATGAGGGGATCTCACTTTAAACCATCAATTCAATAATTGCTAGTTATTGAAGAAATAATTGAATGATTTTCAAATAAGTTTTTTTTTTTTCACAGAAATGATGACAAGAAGACATTTCGATTGGCATTGGAAAATAGGGAAAGCAAAATATTTGTCTTCATAATGGGTATCGATTTCATTTATTTAATAATAAAGAAAATAAAAAATATGTACCAATCCGTAAAAAATCCTTAAACATATTTGTTAAAAAATCCAATCCTATTATCCTGTGGATAGTACTTAAAAATATTTTCTAAAAAATCTGACCCTACTGGTTGTCAATAAATTAAATTATGTTTTAAATATTTAATTTTATTTAATGTTATTTAATTATAAATTTATTATTTAAAAATAATTATTACCAAATCATTATCATATCGTTTTAATTTTCCACCGAATTGCTTTCCATGTTTATATCATTAAAATGTTGTTATATATGTATGGTACAGTAATGATCTCTATAACATGCAATCATTTAATTATTTCGAATTTAACAAATGATTAAAAAAGCCATAGGGAATTATTTGTAACATTTAAATTAATGTCATTAAATATAACAAGAAATCGATATCCCATATTATTGGCTGCCTGAAGGTTTTCAGTCATTTCAAAATTCATTCAATTTCGAAACACTAACAGAGTAATGAACGAAAAAAAACATACAATACTCTTCAAATATCGAAGGGTTAATTGAAACAATGGAGTATTATTGTTTGTGTGTGTGTGTGTGCCAGGATATTTTTACAATTTCCAATTTCGTTGGAATATTTGTTTAACTTTTAATGACTACAAGGATTAAATAATCGGAATTACGAGTTGGAAATCATGTTTCCTGCAATTTTTTCGTAACACATATTATTATTTGCAGTATCATTAAATTCACAGAATTTGTTGAAATTAATCAGCTGGGTGTCCTTATTGCGATGAAGGGTGATTATTAAGGTATCGTATTTCAATTGCATTGTTATATTCCATGAATCAAATGAATGACATGTTTCTATTTAGAAGTGTACTTATTGGGATTGAAAGGACAACATATTCTTAAAGACTATACATAAGGGTGGATTAAAAAAAAACTAAGTGATTTTTTAAATATATTAAGGACTAGGCGTGGATTTTTAATAAAAAATGTTACCAGGAGAGACCTCCCAAAGGCGTAGATTTTTTTTAAAAAACAATTTTTTTGAAGGACTTACTAAAGTCGTGCATTATAAAATATTTCTTCAAGGACTATCCATAGGCGTGGATTTAAAAAAAAATATTTTTTCAAGGACGTCCAAAAGGCGTGGTATTTGAAAAAATATAGGACATTCAAAAGGCGTGGATTTTCAAAAAACATTTTTTGGATTTTTAAATACTGGATTTTAAAAAAATTTTTTCAAAGGACTTTCCAAAAGCGTGGATTTTAAAAAGATATTTTTAAAGGACTTTCAAAAGGCGTGGATTTTAAAAAGATATTTTTAAAGGACTTTCAAAAGGCGTGGATTTTAAAAAGATATTTTTAAAGGACTTTCAAAAGGCGTGGATTTTAAAAAGATATTTTTAAAGGAAAAAGGCGTGGATTTTAAAAAGATATGTTTAAAGGACTTTCCAAAGGCGTGGAAGATATTTTTAAAGGACTTTCAAAAGGCGTGGATTTTAAAAAGATATTTTTAAAGGACTTTCAAAAGGCGTGGATTTTAAAAAGATATTTTTAAAGGACTTTCAAAAGGCGTGGATTTTAAAAAGATATTTTTAAAGGACTTTCAAAAGGCGTGGATTTTAAAAAGATATTTTTAAAGGACTTTCAAAAGGCGTGGATTTTAAAAAGACATTTTTAAAG